GCCATGGACGGCGATCAGATGAGCTGGGAAGACAAGGTTTTGTCTATCAAGTTTCCCACAGACGACGCCAATTGTACGGGAAGCAAATATTCAGGCGAGCTCGTACTCTTTTCTTCTAAGCTCCCTGTCTGTTCGATCGACCTGCGAACACAACGGCGGTAAGCTACCCGGCGGTGTGTGGCCGGAAAACCTCTCCGACGATCAAGTTAGCACACACTCAGGGATAGAGAGAGAGAGAGAGAGAGAGAGAGAGGAGAGAGAGTTGAATGTCTAAGTGTATCTCCCCAAATGATCATCTGTCTCAGCATGGGGGGCGCAGACACGCTTATATACTTTCTGCGCCCAAATCTGCTCTCATTAGTCTCTTGACACGTGGTGCTGCTCTCCCATCTGTCAGCACAAATTCAGCCAAACATCACCTAATCAAACCACTAATTAACATCGGCGGGAATGGGTAGTTCGGCGTAATCATCTCGGTTTCCTTCGATCGAGCTACTTATCGAGCCTAACAATGCCACTCGCGGAGCTCCATCACAACCGAGCTCCGTAGCACCCAGTACGGCCGAGCTCCAAATAGGTTAGGCCGGTCCAAGGGAGACCTTCCCGCCGAGCTACATACGTGACCATAAGACCCGGATCGGCAGACGATCATCTCGGCCTCATTCGACCGAGATACTTATCGAGCTCAACAGTGCCACTCGCCGAGCTCTATCACAACCGAGCTCAGCAACACTCCGGTGCGACTGTGCTCCAGACAAGTTAGGCCGGTCTGCGGCAGATCATAATCACCGAGCTAAAAAGAGCGAACAAGAGAAGACAAGCTGGCAGAGGATCATCTCAGCCAACTCTGGTCTGGACTTCGGCCGAGCAAGCTTCACCACGGCTCGACCCAAATACGCTTCGATCACATTCAGCCAGACCAGAACCGCGGCCCAAGTCGAGATTACAAAAATCCCCCTCTCAATTGCGCTAACCCATCAAATCCGAACCTATCTTCAGCCGTAAAAGCTTACTACTATCACTACCAAAATAAATAAATTATTTTTACAACTAAAATCCATCCCAACAATCAAAAACTAAATATAAAAATTTAAGTATTTTCAATAAAATATAAAAAAATAGAGATACAAAATTTGACATGAAAAATTATAACTACAAAAATTTTATAGACCGAATACAATTATGCGCAATAGAAAGAAGTTTTTTTAATTTATGTAAATTTATTTGCTTTTAATTTTACCTATTGAATTACGATACATGTATTTTATTATATAACCAAATAATAATAAATGATTTAAATTATTACTAAAATCTACTTAATCTAATCCATTTATTTGTTTCAAAATTATTTATAATTAATTTTAAAATTAAATTTTGAATCATTATTATCTAAAACCGTGCCGGTTTTATGCTAGTTGCACATAACATGAAAACTATACATATATTTTTGGCAAAAACATGGTAAATTTTACAATCTTGCCTCTCTTAGAATTTTGTTATGGTATATTTTTTGGCGTAGCCAACGTATGGAATGCCACACGTCATACATGGGTCGTATTTTTTGTTTAATTTTATTTTGTTTCCATCGAGATTAAAATATTTTAGGAAAATGTCTCGTAACTTAAATTTTATGACTCAAAAGTGGCTCAAATATTTTTATGTTGTTCTGTACTCAAAACGACGTCGTTTTGGCTATTTAAGCCACTTTTGAGCCACAAAATTTGAGTTACGTAGTATTGTCGAATATGTTATAAGGTAGGGTTTGTTTTGAGCGATTGAGGGGATGAGATTAGATTATTAGTTTGTTCAAATTAATAGTCGGTTGTTTGGTTTAAAATTTTTGTACTGGATTATTAGTCTCAAATCCATTGAACTATTGTATCTTATGGGAGGGTGGGACACAAATGGAGAGATAATGATATATAAAATTAGGTGGTGAAATGATTATTTTGACCCTCTACTATTTAACTATGTGTTATATTTAGTAAAATTTAATAAAATTTAAATGTCTCAATTTAAAAATAAAAGAATTTTATTTAATTTTTATTGATGTTTTATTTATTTAGTTTTTTAAAATAAATTTTTATAGATATTTTATTTTAAAATTTTGTTTTATTTAATTTCATTATTTAAATTTTAGTAGATGTTTTATTTAGTTTCATTATTTAATTATTATTATTTTTAAAAATAAATTTATTTAAAATTTTAATTAAAAATAACATATATTTTTATTAATATTTTATTTATTTAATTTTTAAATAATAAATTTATTTAATTGTGTAAAAAATAAAATAAAATAATTCTTTATTTAATCTAGTTAAAAATAATTAAAATATTAAATATATGTTTAATATTGTTATTACTTAGTAAATAATTGAAAAGGGTAAAATAGTTATTTAAACATTTATCATTTTTCATAATATCCTAAACAAACATAGGATTCAGATCTCATCCAACCAAATAGTCCACAATTTTTTGCCTAGAGATGGTCATCCAAGAGATATCTGATGGTGAAAATTCAACTGTTATAAACAATGATTTGATGAAAGTTCTAGCATCCTCAATTTGGTGAATTTTTTTTGATATCATTGATTTGATACTTATTTGATAAAATCATTGAAGTAGGAAAAATATTTTTTTCATCAAATTTAAAATTGATGACAGAATTGATGAATCATTGGATATGGTCTAAGAGCATCACTAACACTTTACCCAATTTTTTCAACAAATTTCACTTAAATTTAATAAAAAAAATTTGTTTTGATATCGAGTGTTCCAATAGGGTGATTTGGAATTTCATCAAACCACCAGACAACTGGGAGCACAACCAACCAGTGTAAATTTTTCAAAAAAAATTGCAAGTAGGTAGTCGACCGTGGAGACAATTGAGAGGACATCCAGTCGATTATTCGATGTTCAAGAGGTAATGGCTCTCTATAGAAACTTGGTGAAAGGTTCTAGTATCTTCTATTAGATGAAAAATTTGAGTTATCCTCAATTTGATGAAACAAATGATGAAGCGTTTGAGCATCTCTAGTGGTACATTTTTTTTTTTTATTTTTTTTTTCTCCACCAGAGTTGAGTAAAAACTCCATTTTATATCAAATGCTCAAAATGAAGATTTTGAACTTTTATCAAAACACTGGTCGACCGACCAATGTATTTTTTTCATAATTTTGTTGCTTAGAGGCAGTCATCTGAGAGGACATCCAGTGGTGAAAATTCAACGGTTATGAACAGTGATTTAATGAAAGTTCCCAGCGTCTTTAATTTGGTGAAATATTTTTGATATTTTCAATTTGATACTTATTTGATGAAATAATTGGAGCATGAAAATAGGTGTTTTTTCATCAAATGTAAATTTGATGACCGAATTGATGAACCATTGGAGATGGTCTTAAAGCATCTCCAACGGTGCATTTTTTTTCCCCACTGAATTTGAGTAAAAAATTGTATAAAAACTTCATTTGATATTAAGTGTTCTAACGGAGGATTTTGAGCTTTTATCAAAACATCAATCAACTGAGCGAACGATCGGACGGATGTCCGACCAGTCGACTGGCCAATGTATTTTTTTTCACAATTTGTTGTCTAAACGTGGTCATCCGGTGGTAAAAATTCAACGACAATGAACAGTGATTTGATGAAAACTATAAGCGTCTTCAATTTGGTGAAAGATTTATGATATCCTCGATTTGATACTCAATTGATGAAACCATTGGAGTAGAAAAAAATGTATTTTTTCATCAAATTTAAATTTGATGACATAATTGATGAACCATTAGATATGGTCTTAAAGCACAATTTTTGTACGATTTTTCATCAAATTTAAATTTTATGAAACAAAAGGAGATGGTCTAGGTCTTGTTTGAAAATTAGTTGTTTTAATTATTTTTTAATTTTTTTTTTATGAAAAATGTACAAAAAAATAGGTAGTGATGTGATTTTTTAGCTAAAACCCCATTTGGCAAATGAAGATTAGAATGAAAAAAATAAAAAATAAAAATTTAAGAGCCAAAATAAAAAATAAAAAATATAAAAGGGACAAAGTATAATTTAGGAAGAATTTCAAAAAAAATAAGAAGTAATTTTTTTTTTTTAAATGTTGGAGGTACAAGATTTATTTACATAATTTAATGTATAACTCATTGTACCTCAATCATTTTGAAATAATTTTTATTCTTTCAAATTTTTTTATAACTCCCTATACTTTTATCCAATATTTTTATTTGATTTATGTTTAGTTTAATGGCCCTGTTTGGTACAGTTTAATTTCAGCTTTCAACTTAATTTAAGTTATTTTGATGTGTTTGGTTTAGTTTAACAATACAGCTTATAGCTTTTTGTAAGTCAAAAATCAACTTATTCTTTGAGTGGAGCAGGAGAAGCTTAATTTATAAGTTAGAAATCAGCTTATGTTCATAGTTATAAGCTATAAGCTGTTAAGGTATAAACTATAAGTATTTTCCCACAGCTCTACCAAACATGGCTAATATGACTTTAGAAAGTAAAAAAAACAAAGAAAAAATATAAATAAATATGAATAAAATATAATTATATTTCCCTCATATTTTACACATATATTTTTATTTTTTTCAAATTTTATAAACAAACACTACTTTAGTTTAAAAAGTATGAAAAAGCCTCGGAACTCTATGTGATATAAATTAAATTTATTGAATGTAAAATTTATAAATTGAATAAATTTAAATTATAAGATAATAATTTTAAATAATAAATTTATTGAATGTAAAATTTATAAATTGAATAAATTTAAATTATAAGATAATAATTTTAAATAATTAAGTTTGAATTAATAGTATGGAAAAAAAATATTTTGGTCAACCGGGAAGGTACAAGGAGCAGGGGCGCGTGGGGTCAACTATTTGTGTAGTTAAACAAACACTCTCTCTCTCCCTAAAACCCTAATCATTTAAATGCCACCTTCTTCCTGGCAATGCTGTCTGTCTCTCTCCGCAACCCACCCTCTCTCCCTTCCCACTCTCTCCAACCCCCCCCTCTCTCTCTCTCTCTCTCTCTCTCTCTCTGTATTGCCTCATAAATTCTAGCCTTCCATAAACCCTAGATGCACCAGATGATTTCTGTATAGGGTTTAGATTCACAACCATCTTAGCTCGATCCTCACAATTCACTTCCCATTCTTTCTCTCCTTCTCCTATTTTCATTGATACAAACATACATATAGATATATAAAAATACAAAAAAAATGGATCTTCATAGTCTCGCCGTCGTCTTCCAAGCTGCCCTCAGCCCCAATCCCGATGAACGCAAAGCTGCCGAAGAGAGCCTCAATCAGGTACTACCACTGCTGCTAAATTTTCAAATTTTGATTGATTTGTTTGTTTTAATTCACTTCATTACGCTATTTTAAGCTAAATTTTGATCTAATATCAAGTGATTGGATTATTGGTTCAGATATATATATATATATTTTTTTTTTGTGGGTAATTGATGAATTTAATTATTGTTAAATTTGTAGAAGATATACTAGAATTTGGGTACTGATAGTTACTTATTGCAGTTTCAGTACACACCTCAGCATTTGGTGAGGCTGTTACAGATAATTGTAGATGGGAATTGCGATATGGCGGTACGTCAGGTCGCCAGTATCCATTTCAAGAACTTCATTGCAAAGAACTGGTCACCACATGATCCGCGTACGCCTCCATCCAATGAGATTTCTTTGTTTTTATCGATGTGCTGATGTCTGTACTTTTTTTTTAAAGTTTTAATGCTTACTGTATGCATTTATGTGTGTCAATACAGATGAGCAGTCAAAGATCTTGCCCAGTGATAAAGACATGGTTAGGCAGAACATTCTTGTCTTTGTAGCCCAAGTCCCTCCTTTGTTGAGGTACAAAGTTGAGATATTTTTGATCAAAAAAATGTCCAATTTACTTTTCATTTGAAAACAAAAACCCCATGAAGCCAATCAATCCAAGGTGATATATTATATATAAAGAGATTTTATAGCAAATTAGACATTGAAGGGGTAAACTATGGGATTTTATCGAAAAACAAAGAAGATTGCCACAAAAAAAACTAGGGGCATGTGTACAATTTTTAGAGGGCCAAGGTTTGGGCCTTGGGGGTGTGCTCCCTCCAAGGTCTCAAGCTCGAAACCTCCTAGGTGCAAACAATTTATTGGGGCTAGTCCATACAGGGCTTTGCCTTGGGCTTTAGTTGGGACCTCTGCAAGCGGATTGTGGGATTGGTCCCCCGGTTTAGTCGGTCCAATGGCTGGATACTGAGTTATAAGAAAAACCATTGATATTTTTGCATTTATATTAGTTCAGTGGTTGTATATAATACGTTTGTACTTACTCATATGAATATTAATCCTAGCCTTCACGGTTTTTGTCATTGTTGTTTGTTGTTTGTTTTATGCAGAGTACAGCTGGGTGAGTGCCTCAAGACAATTATCCATGCAGATTACCCGGAGCAATGGCCCAGTCTTTTACAATGGGTGAAACATAATTTACAAGACCAGCAAGTTTATGGAGCTTTGTTTGTTCAGAGGATTCTTTGTAGAAAATACGAGTAAATTTATTGCTAGTCTATATCTGAAACAATAATTGTGTATTTTGTTCCTTGAACCACACCAGTAATTGTGTTTAGTGGGAGAAAAATTGCATTCATTTGCTTTAGAAATGGTAATTATTGTTTTGTCTCCATGCGTGAGAGGCAGCTTCCCCTACTTTCCTTAAGAGATCACAATTGATAGAGTAATTTAAGGCTATGGTAATCAAATTTAAATCATACCGAATGTTGTCAATTCTCTCTATTGAAGGATTCAGTTGTAGTGTAGAATATTGTTCTTTTTGTAACTTTTACTAAACATATATTTTTATTCTTGTGTGCTTTGCAGGTTCAAGTCAGACGAGGAGAGGACACCGGTTCATCTCATTGTCGAGGAGACATTTCCTAATCTGCTAAGTATATTCAACAGCCTTGTTCAGATTGTCAACCCTTCATTGGAAGTGGCGGATTTGATCAAGCTAATCTGCAAAATATTCTGGTCATCCATATATGTATGTGCTTACATGGGCATTTTCATAGAAGGCCTTTGTATTAAAGTTTCCATTATTGCTCGGATGTTGCACTGTTCATATTAATAGATTTTGATAAAATGCTATTTTTTGTTAAGTTTTTTTACCAATAGCATGTTATAACATGTTTGTGGAAGCTTTTTCGACTCTGTTGTATTTCCCTTATTTATTTAGGTAACTGTCACAGTCATGGTTTGGCAGTGATTTTGTTCTTCTTCTCTTTTTATGTAATGCTTTAAGGTTTGGGAATTGTGGTTTTCCGAAGGTATCTTGTTTTCATTGAACCAATATTTGGGAGAAGCACAACTTTCTTGGTTTTCAATAATTCTTATTGTTGGCATTTCATGGTACAATGAGCGAGAATAGAATGTAGTCCACATTGCATCATTTTACTCTTCCAGCTGCAGTCTTTTAATAAGAGTGCCAGTCTTGTATTGTTCAGCTTTAGAAAATCTTTTGATCGTTCATTTTCATATCTTGGCCATCTTTTGTTTCAGTTGGAGATTCCAAAACAGTTATTTGATCCAAATACCTTCGATGCTTGGATGGTTCTTTTCTTAAATGTATTGGAAAGGCCTGTCCCAGTTGAAGGCCAACCTGCTGATCCGGAGCTCAGGAAATCATGGGGATGGTGGAAGGTAAAAAAGTGGACAGTTCACATTTTGAACCGCCTGTACACCCGGTGAGTATCTAGTTATTGAATTTATTTGACCTGTATATGGCTTAGAATACCACAATTGATTTACCTCAAATTTTCATTTTGTCATAGATTTGGAGATTTAAAACTTCAAAACCCAGAAAACAAAGCTTTTGCCCAAATGTTTCAGAAGAACTATGCAGGAAAAATTTTGGAGTGCCATTTGAATTTGTTGAATGTGATTCGCGTTGGTGGCTATTTGCCCGATAGAGTTACAAATCTTGTTTTGCAATATATAAGCAACAGGTTTGTTTACAACTTCCATTCATTTCATTATACTTCTCCTTCTGTTTCATCTGTATTCTGTTATTTGGTAAACATTACTGCTTAGGCATTGAATTTTTTTGGTTGTTGTTTTCTTTTTCTCTTCCCTAGGGAGTTATGTTGGTTCATAGGTTGGTCATACTTGAAGCAGTAAATTTTTTTTTGAAGTAATTTGTGTTGTAGAATTTTTATGTGCTAAATGTTGGAAACATTTTAAGCTGGCTCTAGAAAAATTCTTTTTCCATTTTTTTTTTTGACAAGAAAATTTCTGTTAGAAAAAAGTAATAAGGGCATGCAACCCATATAAATTAGACAAAAACCTGTAGAAGTGTCTAGGAAGATTCAACAACTAACATCTAACAATACTAAAGTATCAACAAAATTCTAAAATTGCTCCAGGTTGGGTCCAACCTAGATCCAGCTATACAGAATAGCAACAAAACTGCTCTTATAAGTGGGTGTTAGTGAAAATCTAGTTTTTATAAAAAAACAAATAAATAAACTTGACTTTTAATTGAATGAATATTTGTTGAATGTATATGAGTGCATAATTCTTGACATATTTTATGTTATATGATACCTTACTATGATTGTAGCTACAATTGTTATGTATGTTATAGGATGGCCTATAGTAATTGTAAGTGTGATTGTTATGCTGTGGAATATGTAGTTATTCAATTTTTGTTTGTGTTATGGTGCATTATTTCACTGTCTTTGGATGAAATATTTAAATATGACATATAATAAACATATAAATTTATATATTTTTGTGCGTGTCTCCGTGTTTTGCCACATGTCTGTGCCCGTGCTTTCTTAGATTGTGATTGTCCATCCCTATGAGTTTTAAACTGTATGCAGTGTTTCGAAGACCAGTATGTACAATCAGCTGCTACCAAGACTTGATGTTGTTCTTTTTGAGATAATTTTTCCACTTATGTGCTTTAATGACAATGATCAAAAGCTTTGGGATGAAGACCCACATGAATATGTGAGGAAGGGATATGGTGAGTTATGGGAATCTAATTTTGTCACCTAAGATCCCGTTGTCAGCTGCTTTTTGCATTGTCATATACTCTTCTTTGTTGCAGATATAATTGAAGATCTGTATAGTCCCAGGACCGCTGCGATGGATTTTGTGAGTGAGTTGGTAAGAAAGCGTGGGAAAGAGAACCTTCAAAAGTTTATACTATTCATCGTGGAGATTTTTAAGAGGTATTTCATCTTTTTTTGTCTATGATATTCTCTTTGGTAATCTGTTGTACTTGGATGCAGTAAGCTCATCCTTTGTCCTTTTCTAATCCAGATATGATGAGACAACGGTGGAATATAAGCCCTATCGACAGAAAGATGGTGCTCTTCTAGCTATTGGGGCACTATGTGATAAATTGAAGCAAACTGAGCCTTACAAGTCTGAACTTGAGCGTATGTTAGTTCAACATGTTTTCCCTGAGTTCAGCAGTCCTGTGGGACATCTTAGAGCCAAGGTGTGTCTCTCTTTTGTATTTGTGCCTTCTCTTCCTCTTACTATGAAATCTTGTGGCCTAGTTTAAATATCATGTTCTATCATGAGTGCGTTATCTGTTTTGTTCTTTATTTATTGTCGTTGTATAGGGCTGTTTCCTAAGTGAACCAAATATTACATTAGAAAAATCTGTGTGTTTCTCTTTTGTATTTGTTTCTTCTCTTCCTAACTATGAGTTCTTGTGGCCTAGTTTAAATACCACGTTCTATCATGACTGCACAAACAAGAGTTGACTTTTTTGAAAAAATTGCACAAGCGGGGTGCACAAACAACACGGTGCTGTTCGGCCCGTGGGGGCTCATCAAGGGTCCCGTTTTGATAATCTTAACCGTTCAATGTATAGAACTCGTTGAGTACTATAATATGACTGTAAAAATCACGTTGATTGGATATCGCTAATTAAATGATCAAATCAGTTTTGTATAAAAAATAGATGGTGTTATAATTAACGATTGAAAAAAAACTAATCTGATCAGATAGCTATCGATATTCGATCAATGTGATTTTTTATAAGCATATAGTATTCGATGAGTTCTACACATTGAACGGTTTCGATTAGCGAAACGGGACCCGTGGTGGGTCTCCACGGGCCGAACAGCACCGTCCAATTCAATGTCCAAAAAAGAGGGAACCATCTCTTAGCCTATATTTTGCACACGCTGCCCTTTAGGACATCCCACCGTATTGCCTATTCTATCCCAATCTTCTCCTATACACTAATTTATACAATTTTTTAATACACATTTTTTCGTAAAATGTCAAAAAGTTAGCCCAAACAACCATCTTTTTTTCCTTAACTTTTTATTCTAAAAAGTCAAAAGTGCACTTATTTAGGATATCCTAAACAACCCCTTACTATTTTTATGGTGCGTAATGTGTTATAATCAAACTAGCTAAGTAGTAAAGTATTGCTGTCCAACAGTGATGCAGGGCACTTGTTCTCTGTATTCACAAGGACAATATTATATCGTATTCTTTCTGGAAAATTGTATTGAGAAAACACATGGTGTGTTTTATCTATACGGGGTTTATCTATACAGCCACAATTATTATGCCAACTAGGGGTTGTTTGGGATGACATAAATAAGTGTACTTTTTGTCTTTTTACGAAAAGATGTGCAGAAAAGTAGAGAGGTGATGTGATGAAAAAAAGATAAAAAAATTGATTATTTTTGGGTTGCCAAACTTGGCCTAAATCTTTGTTGAAAACTCATCAATAGAACAGTATTATGCAGGTGCACCTATATTAAGTTGCCTACTTGTCTTAGGCCTTGTTTGGCATATTCTAAAAAAGTTAAAAAGTTAAAAAGTCACTATCCTATTTAAGTCATATCATCTTATTTAAGTCACATCACCTCTCTACAACATCACTTCAAACTCAACCCATACCCAACCCATATTTCATAAAAAGTCAAAAAGTGCACTATTTAGAACATCCCAAACCACCCCTTATTAATCTCTTGCCTCAAATGGCTTGTGGGTGGATTTGTTGGAGGAACGTGACTCCCACCCTAACCTGGGGCGTTTCATCCTATCAAATTTACATGGCTTATCTCGGCAGTTATTCCTCTTTGCAATCTTCTTTGTTTTCTTAGCTTATTCTCTGCTAAGTATATTTTGTTCTGGAATATTAGGCGGCGTGGGTTGCAGGACAATATGCCCATATCAACTTTTTGGACCCAAACAATTTTCCTAAAGCATTGCATAGTGTTGTTGCGGGGATGCGTGACCCAGAGCTTCCAGTTCGTGTTGATTCAGTCTTTGCATTGCGTTCATTTGTTGAAGCTTGCAAAGGTACATGTTTGCTTGACATTCTTGTTACACTAACTAAAAAATAAATAAAAATAACGCCCAATCAGTACACATTAATATGTGTTTGGGAGGGGAAAGATTGAGGACACGCCTAACCTTTGGCATAATGCACAAAGTGATGGCCCCAAGACTTGAACCCATGACCTTAAGGTTATTAGGCCAAATCTTAATCATTAAACCAATAGTCACCCCTCTTGTTACTCGAACTTGTGGAAAAAATTTATTCTGGGGTTTTTTAATATCTTATTACATCAAATATTGGATCATCTTCTTTGTTCCACAGATTTGAGTGAAATCCGACCAATTCTTCCACAGCTTCTTGATGGTATGTGATTTATGGAATTATACTTGAGAATATTAACTGGAGTTGTGCATCTCCTTTAACGGATTTTTCCTTGTTGTGTCAGAGTTTTTTAAACTTATGAATGAAGTTGAAAATGAGGATCTTGTATTTACTCTCGAGACTATTGTGGACAAGTTTGGGGAGGAGATGGCACCGTATGCTCTTGGATTATGCCAGAATCTGGTAATACTTGCTTCATTTGTCTTTAGGATAATTTATCCTGCATTTCTTTATTTTGTCTTCTCTGGGAATCTTATTTTCGTATTCTAGGCTGCTGCATTTTGGAAGTGTATGAACACCGCAGAAGCTGACGATGAAGCTGATGATCCTGGTGCTTTGGCAGCAGTTGGTTGTTTGCGTGCCATAAGCACAATTCTTGAATCTGTGAGCAGGCTTCCCGACCTTTTTGTCCACATTGAGCCAACTCTGCTTCCGATAATGCGTAGGATGTTGACCACTGATGGGCAAGGTATTTGTGCGAGTTTCAGCATGTTTGTTTATACCACTGATAATTTTGTTGCGAGTTGGATATTGTATATCTTAACCTAGATATATTTGTTGTGCTATTATTATTATTTGTTTTTTATTTTTTTCCTTCAGTATTCAAATTTTATATGAAAATTTTGGAAGTAGCTGTCCACCTTACCAAGACAGGAAAAAAAAGCTGCTAAGATCTTGAAGTGGTTATTATATTACATATTACATGTATGAGTGTCAAGTATGGTTGTGAAAATCGAGATCCTACGTTAGATTCCTGTGAAGGTCTTGAGGATCAGATCAAGGATTGTTATTCTACTTTCTATTGTTAGAAGAATAAAATAAAGGGAAAAAAACTTCTGTAATTGTTTGTTTTGGTTCTCTTCTCGCATATTACTTAATTATGAGCTTATGCTCTTTGAATAAGAAATTCATTGGTTTTTTTTATCTATGTCAAATGTCTTATTTGGTAATTATGTACTTTTATTCGTAAAAGAGTTTTTTTTTTCTGGATGAGCATTCACATATCCATTTAATATATACTTTCTTGCAGAGGTCTTTGAGGAAGTTTTAGAAATTGTGTCATATATGACGTTTTTTTCGCCTACAATATCCCTGGAAATGTGGAGTCTATGGCCATTGATGATGGAAGCATTGGCTGATTGGGCTATTGATTTCTTTCCAAGTACGTGTATCTACATTAAATTCTCATGCCTTCTCTTCATTAATTATTTTTGTATCTGTTTCTTATGGCTGCGTTTTGGGATTTCTTTCCAAAGAGCTTTTTTTTTTTTATATTATTTTTTATATTTTAAATGTTTTATTTTATGGATAGAAATCATTCAATGATGAATTTCTTTTGTTTTCTGCCTAGTTTGTGATGTCAGTATCAGTTACTTCCTGATGATAGAGATCAGTGATGTATTAGAAATCTTAGCCAGAAGTATCAAGAGAGATTTTCAAATATGTTCCTGAAACCGGTTTGTAAGATATAAGAAAAATTAAATATTTGACTTTTGATACTGGATATAAGAAAGATTACATATATTATCTTTGCCATAATCATTATTTGCCTATTTAATGGCTTCTAGAATTCCATTTTCAGCATTTTCCTCATTAGTAACATCATAGGCCGTAGATTACTACCTCTCAACATATTTGTAAGTAATCTAGGGCCTAAATTTCCAAAGACCGGTCTTCCCAAAAAAGTCAAAACAATATGACTTTTGATAACACTGGATCTGAGCAGAGTGGGAATATGCACTTTTGGATGACTGAAGAACCAAATTACTTACTGACAATTTTACTATAATCATAATAGTCGATATTCAATAATGGTCATTGGTTGGTGCTGTGTTGTGGCATCAGCCTGTTAAGGTAATCCGAAGGGCTGTTTTGGTTATTTGGCGTCTGTTTGTTAACTTGTCTAACTGGAATTGTTGGTTTTCATGGTGCATGGCTGAGTGTCTATAGTTTTCTGTGATACCGAATGAATAACTGAAAGGGTACTTAACTCCCATCATTTGCTGGTAGGCTGCATCTGTATGAAGTTCTCAATTCATTTTTTGCAACCCCCTCCTCCCCTCTCAAGGTCTTCATGGTGTAGGAACTATTGGTTAACTTTTCAGTAGGGTGGATATTATGTTGTCTTCATAATTTTTCTTATGTCTTACAAATATGCAATTCTTTGTAGAGCAGCTTCCATGTGTTTCTTTCTCTCTTATTTACTTTAGTTCTTTTGGATTTCTATATTTGTGTAGATATCTTGGTTCCGTTGGACAACTATGTATCCAGAAGCACAGCACATTTTCTGACATGCAAAGAACCAGACTACCAGCAAAGCCTTTGGAATATGCTTTCATCTGTGAGTTCCTTCATCTTTATCAAAACTACGTTTTGACCAGTAGCTACTTAATTATCAGGCACAATGTGTACAAATAGAATTTATGCATGTATCTGGACCAACTGCTCATCATATAACTTGATTTCATGCTTCTCTTTCCTGCTTCCTATGATTTTTCTTTGTTCCCTCTCCCAGATAACAAAGGCTGCATTCTTTTTTTTCTTTTGTCATGCAGATCATGGGAGATAAAAATTTGGAGGACAGCGACATCGAGCCTGCTCCTAAGCTCATCGAAGTGGTGTTTCAGAACTGCCGAGGACAAGTGGATCAATGGGTTGAGCCATATCTTAGGATTACAGTTGAGCGGTTCCGTCGAACTGAGAAAGCATACTTGAAATGCCTTTTGATGCAAGTGGTAAGCAACATGGAATTTCCCTTTTCTAGAAACAGAAGGCATCCCCTCAAAAGGGCTCCATCCCTTAGATATCCATTTTTTCTTGAGAATTCTGCCGCTGTGGTTGATCTTTCAATGTTTCCTTCTTGTCACTTTCTTTTTTATTTTGTGTAAATTGGGTTGGGGAGAGGGATGCGGTGGAGGAGAGGTGTTTGTGATGCTTAGAGTGATAGGGCATGTCTTATGTCGTATGAGCAAAAGGTTTGAAACCGCCATTGGATTGGTCCTATCTACAGGGGAGTATGACACAAACAGATATTTAAGAATGACTCTGGGAACATAGTATGCTTTGAAATGCTTATGCTAATGACCCATTTCTAAATTTTGTATAGCACACTTTCAATTGGGGTACGTGAGAAGGTGGGGCTTAAATTATGTGTTTGTGTGTATATATATATATATAGAATTAATGTATCATGTATGTACATGTGTGCCGACTGAGACATTTAGTTCCTGATTTATTACCGGACACTACTACAAATTGGGAACACTAATGCATAGTGCACAAGCAAGCTTGATTGGGCCTGATCTAAGGAGGGAAAACCAAACTTGCATATCTCTTGGTTTGCCAGCTTTGAAGTATGGATTTGTAAACCTGAATGTTCTGTTGTGTAGTACATGTACTCTAAAAAACATGTACTATGATTTTTTAAGTGATGGGTTAGGTTTAGCCACTTAGCAACAGATTCTCTAATCTGAGGAATGTCCCTTAAGGTTTAGAACTTGCTTCAATTCTTACGAAAAGTTGCGCATTATTTGTTTAGACCAAAAAGAAGAAAGAAGGCTTATTCACAGTGAACTTTTGTGACTTTGAGACAGTTTCTGTATGCCCATAATAGGAAATTGCTAGATATTAGGGATTCCTCCAAACAACGCATGTTCTGCAAGGAAGAAAGCGTAGCATTTACCATTATTGATTAGTGCATGGTGGGTATAGTTTTTACCTTTAAGTGCGACATCATTTACAATGATTCATGTAATTTTACTGGGGTGTGTACGAGATTTCTTATCATGCATTGAAGATTCTCTTGAGGTGAGTATTTTGTGAGGATTTAATTTGTTTTGCAGATTGCTGATGCTCTTTACTACAATGCATTTTTTACTCTCAACATATTGCAAAAGCTCGGTGTTGCTACGGAAATCTTTAACCTTTGGTTCCAGATGTTGCAGCAAACTAAGAAGAGTGGAGTACGGGCTAATTTTAAAAGGTGATTTTTCATTCTGGTTCTCTGAACAGCCTCCATCCCCTCTTCTCCCAATCAAAAGGAGGACAAAAAAACCACTCTTCTCTTCTTTGGTGTCTCATGCATGTGATGCTTGTGTTGCAGAGAACATGATAAGAAAGTCTGCTGCTTGGGGTTAACGTCACTGCTTCCACTTCCTGCCAATCAATTGCCAGGGGAGGCTTTAGGACGTGTTTTCCAGGCTACTCTTGATCTACTTGTTGCATACAAAGAGCAAGTAGCAGGTTGCTATTATTTTTTTTCCTTCCTCACTTCTCTTCCTCTCCCATTTTTCATCTAATTTTTTCTGAGTCCAGACTGTTTAGTTTTCCTACTTAAAATGAGCACTGTCTGAGTAGTTACTGTTCTACTTGTCATTTTATAATCTTACGTGTTGTTTTGATCGAACATGGACAGAAGCTGCCAAGGAAGAAGAGGCCGAAGATGACGATGATATGGATGGTTTGCAAACTGATGATGAGGATGATGATGGAAATGGGTCTGACAAGGAAATGGGAGTTGATGCGGAGGATGGGGATGAAGCTGACAGTTTAAGATTTCAAAAACTAGCTGCACAAGTGCGTAAATCTCTTGAAATTACTTCTTTTATTAATGATGCAGTTTTGTGATAATGAAATGAAATGAAATTTCATTTCATTTCTATTAAACTACAATTTTATTTGGCATGCTGAAAGAGAAAGTAACTTTGCTTCTTGATGTTGAATTTGTTTAGACTATCATCTCGTGGAAGTCCTCTCATGCACAGCTGTTTATTGTAACAAAAAATTGAGAATAGAAAATCTATCTATAATATTCAGCTACAAAGCCAGTGATGTAGAAACTGTCATCTTGGGGTTGGTTGGCATCCCAAAATCAGTTTAAATGAAGGACCAAAAAAAGAAAGTTGAATCCGATTTTGGTTTTATAAAACTTGGAAAAAGTTACTCTGTAGTATATGTCACATGGGCAAACATATGTTTCTGTTGTTTGTCTAAGCAAAGCGGGTTCTATTTCGATACATCACTTTAAGATGTGTCTTTATATGTGCTCCTAAAATTTCACTTTCTGATGTCGGTGCTTTTTTCTTGCTTGGCTCACTCGATTTTTATCATTTATCTCCCATATGTATTTAATTCACTGAGTCTTTCACCTGATTGTACTTTTTGACATTTTGGGTCGTAGGCAAGGGCTTTCCGTCCAAATGATGACGACGATGACGACTCAGATGATGACTACAGTGACGATGAAGAATTGCAATCGCCCATTGATGAGGTTGACCCTTTTGTTTTCTTCGTGGATACCATTAAAGGTAAAGTGCAAATGTCTTCTGTTTGGTTAATCATGAATTTTTATTGGGATTGTGTTGGCTGACATGAAACTTCTCCGTTTTTTCCTTCAATTTCTGAATGAAGCTTTGCAAGCATCAGATCCATTGAGGTTTCAGAACCTCACACAGACGCTTGACTTCCATTATCAAGCGCTAGCAAATGGTGTTGCTCAGCATGCTGAGCAGAGAAGAGCAGAGATTGAGAAGGAAAAATTGGAGAAAGCATCAGTGTCTGCTGCAGCTGCCTCGTGATTTCAGTTGGTGGAAACAACATTGTAGCTCGAATTTTGCTCTGCTCCCCCAGTTCTTTGGTTACACCATTTCTTTTGTAATGGTTTAGGAATACCAGGAGTTATTGCAAAGTCTGGATGGAGTTTTTGGTTGGTTCATCTGTCATGGAGGTCTGTGAACCAAAAAAACTGTCATTCAGGTCCCAAAGATGAGCAGAAAGTAGAGAAGCAAACTCTGCTGCTCCTCGTTCTTGAGCATGGGTTTGGATAAGTCATTTTGTCTGGTGAGTCGGCTATTCTATGGCAGAAGATGCCTTTCCCCACATTTTCTATTCTCAATTATGTAGTTGTAGTTACAATTTCATAGTGATCAAATTTTCGATTATTGTTGTGAGAAGCCCTTGTATCTGGTTTAGAAAGGGAGGGTGGTTTCATGCATAGTGTCCATGATGTGTCATTTCATCCCCATAGTTATCAAGTGCAGTGTTGATGGCTGTCTTGAAATTTTTATATGCATTTGGAGGGGGTGAGGGTGAAACTACAATTTTTTTTTTTTTGTTGAAAATTTTCGGTTAATAGTCTTATGAATATTATATTGTGTCATTGGTTAATTTGGGGTTTGGAGGTTTTGGTCATAGCAAGGAGGCTTGCTGTAAAACAGTTGTTTCATTCTTTATATGTGGATTAATGGAGAGAATATTGGTTTTTATATGCTTTTGACACTTGTTTCCTTTATTCCAACCCCCATGTAATGTGGTATGCTTGTATCAAACATTGTTATCTGACTAGGATAATATGATTTTTGTATTTTGGCTTGGGGTGGAGGTATGAAAATGTTTCTACATTTGATAATTCTCACATAAATGCTCTTCTATCGGGTGCTTCTATTTACACACTACATTTTGTATCAAGGCACATCATTAATTAATTATTTTTTATTACAATAATGACCTCACCTAAAATGACCAAAATGACAATACACAACATTCATTAGTCAAATTACCATTTTGGACAGAATTCTAATTACACACCAACCATAACCAGTGTTGCACTTTCGTCGGTTGCTCCCAGCTCCGGCTGAGGAAAAGGCAATGGTCGTGGTAGGTAGAGATGGCAATCGGAACCCATGACCTCACCTAAAATGACCAAAATGACAATACACAACATTCATTAGTCAAATTACCATTTTGGACAGAATTCTAATTACACACCAACCATAACCAGTGTTGCACTTTCGTCGGTTGCTCCCAGCTCCGGCTGAGGAAAAGGCAATGGTCGTGGTAGGCGGTGATGATGCAATCCTTCTTGGTGATCACCGCTTCCATTGTGATCGCCATAGCTTTTTGGCCGTCGTAGAGGTGGCAAAAATCATGGATCAACTTCGCTTTGTAGAGCGAATCGGCGACGATCTCCATCCGACGCATCATTGCCATGTCTCGGAAGATGGTTATGAGCTCTTTGGGGGTGATGGTGATGGTGCGAGACAGTGCTCGCAGTTGTGGCCGGTTAAGGGGACGCTGGTCTCGATGGTGATGGAGGTTGAATCGTCGGTGGAGAATGAATGGCGGAGAGATTGGGTGTATAAGACAACGGTGGAGAACGGCTTCAGTAGATTCAAATATTGCTGAGTCAAAGCCATCTTGATCGATCGATTGCTTGACTTTTCTCTGATCTCTGCTCGTTTTCTCTCTCTAAAATGGAGCTTGAGAATTTGAAGGGTTTGGTATGTGAGAGAGAGTGAGGGAAGATGAAAGTATGTTTGTATCAATTGATGGGTAGTGGATAGTGGTGAGAGTAGCCGGAGAAAGAGAAGAAGAAGGAGGAGGAGGGGGGCGACGACGGAAGGGATGGTAGTCGTCGGTGATGGTGGTAGTTAAGATTAGGGTTAGAATTTGGTAAGGGTTGGAGAGTTGGAAACATTAGGATATTTTGGTATTTTGCCTTTTTTTTTTTTTTTTTTTTTGAATTTGAAGTGTGTATTAAGTGGTGTGGGACTAAGTGTAACAATGGAATGTTGTGGTGTGTGTTAAGAAAAATTATGTTTTTTCAAATTATTGAAGGTGTGAGCTGAGTAGTAGTGTGCCTTAAGATCAAATGTGGTGTGTAAATAGAGGCATCCTCTTTTATCAGCTAAATATTTGGAATTTCGAGGGTTTTTAGCTTTCACAACTTTCTTGATCAATATCATAAAAATTTTATAATAAAATGTAGGCCGCCTGTGCTTTGCTGAAGTTCTTTGGGTAAGTGCAACAACTGCTTTAGTAATTGCCAAATGTGTAGTTAAGTTTCATGGCTGGCTGTCAATGATATTTAGCTGTGGGTAAGGGTCTCTCAGGCCAAGTTAGACCGAAAAATGGTACCTACTGTGGATTGCTTTTCTTCTGTTTGAATGATGAATCTTCTTGTCAAAACTTCTTGACTAAAATGATAGCTGAAGGTTATGTTTGTTTGGGAATTTGGCTAGATACAGTGTTGGGATTAGACTGATAATTTAATTAACAAGATACTTTTGGTTAAGAAAATTGAGATTCAATCAATCTATATGGGGATTATTAATCCCAAGAGTGTAGAATATATAGAGTAAATTACAAATACACTTGTTGAAATTTGATTAAAATATAGATTATCTTGCGGTGTGGAAAATTACTAGTACTCTTTTGTTGAAATTTTTTATTTAACAAAATTAACTAAAAAAATCCAATTCATAAAGTAGGTTCTTCACCAACAAGCAATCCTTTAAGAATAATAATACAAGGCTAAAGCATTCTCTATCGACAAAGCAATCCAATAATGCTCAAAGGACAAAGTAACAGCAGATTCTTCCCGGCCTCCAATTCATTTTAAATCCGGACTTCTACATCTATATAAGTCAGCCATTCTTTAGAGGAATCTGCTGTTACTTTATCCTTCGAGCATTATTGGATTGCTTTGTTGGTGGAGAATGCTTTTAGCCTTGTATTATTGTCCTTTAAGGATTGCTTTGGTCAGTGGAGAACCCACTTTATGAATTAGATTGTCTTTTCTTGTATTGGTGGAGAATCTTTAATGAGTTGATTTATCTTTGGATATAGAGGGAATCGTCTTTATTAAAATTATTGAACTGGCTTGTCTTTGAATGCAAAGGGAATCGACTTTATTAAAATTATTGTACTACAAGTTTATAGAAATCACATGGGTCACAAATTTCCTAAATTATTAATTAAAATAAATTTCTTATATCATTAAAATTATTAATTGATTTGATAATTTATTAATAAAATGAGTCATTTATTATAAAATTAAAAATTTCAAGGGACAGGGATATAATTTGCAAAACCATAAAGAATAAATTATATTTTAAGCAAATTTTAAAAAATGTATTTGTACTTTACCTACATACAAATGAGAGACGGTCTCATTTGAGAACAATATATTTTATTAATTTTTTGTTTTTTTAACTAAAATATAAAGCCAAAAACAAAAAACTAAATATGTTTGGAATAAATTTTTGATTTTTTTTTACGAAAATATATGTAAAAAATAAAAAGAAAAGATAATCTTTGACTTTTTTTTGTATAATTTATTAATTTTTTTAATAACTTTTTGACTTTTAGAGGTTTGATTTTATAGATGGGGGTTTGAGAAAAAAAAACTTATCGAATGTTGCCAAATGCAATATATGTTTCTGCTTTTTTCAAATTTCATGGTAATCATAGATTCCCTGCATCATAGCAATTACAAGTTTGAAGGCACACAATTAACCCAAGGGGTTTTGCATTTCATAGATGTGAAGACCCAGTGGTGATTGCACACAAAACCGAACTACAAGTCACTTAACAGCTATAGAGCATCAAAAGTCTATATAGACTCCTTGTATATATTACTCAGAGAGAGAGAGAGAAAACCCTAGTTACACACCCTTTCCATGACACTATGGTCTCATCTTACTTGCCCATGTGAACTAAAATCCGATTGATCAAAGCTTCCTTTTTCCCAGCAAGAGGAAGGTTGTGTGCTGACAGATAGTACTTCAACTCCACCACCGTTAAATCCTTTAACTGCGAAACACAGAACTAAGGATTATGAATTTGAAATTTTTGAAAATTCAGGCAATTACTCGACTTAAATTCAAAATCATTGAATTGGTGGACAGTCCACTCCTGTATTTACTTTAACTATATTTAATAGATTTTCCCCAAGTTAAAATATACAAAAAATAAATGAGTTACAGGTTATGTTCCATGCTAAAACTAAATAAAATGCTGGTTATTTTTTACTTCCCAATCAAAATTAAGGCAATTTCTGTCACCTTTCCATTGTCTGCAAGGTCAGACCAGTCATAGCTGGCACACTCCTTAGCTGCATTTTCAGCAATTGCTTTCCTTTTTCTGGAAGCTTCACTTACTTTCCCATTGGTCTCAAACTCGTTCCCGTCATCATAGTTTTCTCCAAAGATGGTATTTTTAAATTCTTCCAATGCATTAACGACTCCTGGCCTGCCAAGTAATTGTTTTGTCGAGATAAAAATGAAATATAAAAAATGAGAGTGATAGGAGTAGATACCGAATAAACACTACCAATGCGTCAACACTATATTACCTAGCCAAACCTTCCTCATCAGGAGCAGTTTCATCTTTGATTTCTGGCATCTCGTCTTCATCCAAAGCTAGAGCCTGTAGCACTGCATAGTGTCTCTGCAACGCTGCAATAAGTTTTCTGGTCATCATAATGACGGGAACATCTTCCTATTATCATCGCTCTAAATAGCAGTATTGGGATAGGAACCAATATCAGGTCATGAACAATCCCTCTAAAACTCAATGGTAGATAAATTTTGATAAAAAGGGTGCAATGGCTACATAGAGGTGTTCCACCAAGTATAAAAAAGCCTCAGGTTGCCCACTTAAAAAGAAAATTTTTATTCCATGTTTGCAGCTTATGGTGGGCCATTGGCTAGCCCAGTAAGAAAATTTTTATTCCATGTCTCTATGAAAACCAGCCAGGTCTGGTGGCGATTCGGTTTTTTCATTTCATCAAATTCAATTTCAAAGGTATGTTGTTTTATTTTTCTTTATTTTAACAGAAAAGTAAAGAAAACTAACAATTCCAATATTTCATTATTTCAAATCCCATAAATGTAATTTCAAATTATATGCATAACTTCAAACATGAAATAATCATACTAGCATACATAAGTTGACCAAAAAGGAAACAATAAAATATCAGAACCCATTGTTTTGAGTGTTTTGTTTGTTTAGAGTTTTCAAAAATTAATTCCATACTCACTTTTGAAAACTCTTTCCAAGGCGGGAACATTTGGATTAACTGGTCATCCCTCCGGACGTCCGGTCAGTTGACCGGAACAATGCTATTTTTTTTTTTAATTTTTTAATTTTAACAATTGGCACTTGTTATTTTTATGTTTTAAATAAAAAAAAAAAAATTGGAATTTTTTAAATTTTTTTAAGAGCTTTGAATAGAATTTTGAGTGGTGTGTTTTGGTTATGAGTTGTAAATTTTTGTATCAAATATCATGTCACATCAAAAATTCCATACTCAATTCAAAACTCTTTTCAAAGCTCATTCACCAAATAAATTTTCCACTCAAATCATAATTCTAAAACTCACAAACTCAAAATACAACTCGATTTTCAAATCATATTTAGAAAACTCTGCCAAACGCTACCCAAAGATTTTCCATAGATTAAGTTCAAATCTAAACATTCAATGCATAATTTATTGGAAATTGAAGGTTCATGGTGAGGTTCTATGATGTTTTTCACCAAAAATAGAACTAGGTGTTACAAACACATTATGTTGTAAAGTACTCCTATAACATGCAAAATGCCTCCAAAACCCTAAAATATCGTGCAATGTTTGCTCACAAATATAATTGCAGACCATGAAAACAGATATTCTTGGTGCAATGCTTCCTAAATTAAAGAAATTTGAATACAAAAAGTAATAACTATAATAGTTGACATAAATCGAACTGTAATGAAAGAGAATTCCATACTAGAGATACATTCTTAAGATATAGAATTGCCCATGTAGAATATAGAGATTTACCAGGATTAGCAAATTGGCATACTGAAAAATCTTTTAGGTCTATACGTTTCATTAAAGCAGTAGCCTTATTAATTTGATCATCAGTTGCTCGAGGAATCATACTGTTTACATCTGAATGGAGCTGCAAGATGCCATCAAATTCTTTAGTGCCAACTGTCATATAAAATCTATTCAGCCCAAAATAAAAATTTATCTTGCCTCTTCAATTTGCCTAATGTCATCAGAATATGGGAGATATATCATGTGCATTCCAGGTGGCTCAACTTGACCACTAGCAGTGATTATCTCATCCTGCATTTTAAGAAGATTGTAGTGAGATTATTTCAATTAACAAACGTAAAGATGAAAATCTGAACCAAAAGAGAAGCGAAATGATGACAAAGTGATGTAGCACAAGTAGATGAAGAAAACAGAGAAGGAAGAAACCAGGGAATCACAATCAGAGTCTGATAAACCATTATTTAAAAGCCATTGGATAGGCCAACTAAACTAATGAAATCCAATTAGAAAAAGCACTAAGATGCCAAAGCACTAAGACATCATTGCCTAAGACATCAACAGCCAGCATTATTGAGGTGGCAAATTTTGGAAACCAACTAAAACAAAGGATCACACAAGTAAAATGTGAGCTGATACATAAATCTCACACAACTCCATATTAAGAACAAGACAAAAAGGCATTCAAACATGTGTACAACAATGAAAATAATTCCCCAGTATACATTGGAAAATGGCATCTTACTTGTGCAACAAGGGCAACCAATTGAGGACGAGTAGAACTCCCATAAAATGCAACTGCAAAACTGGAGAAAATAGAAGTAAAAGTCCCATAAACATTATCAGTGACATGTATTCATTACAATTTTCACTCATATCACAGAACTAAGTACGTACAAACGCATGCATATATTGGCCAATATATGTATGTATATGCATATAAATATTTCAACTAAATAATTGACCTTAAGACCCAAAATAAATTTACATATAAAAAAGTGACTACAAGTAGTCATGAAAGGACTAAAACAAATGTTAACACAGAAAGACATGGAACAGAAAATGATGGGTGAACTATTGATTGGGAATAAGGGCTTCAATAATTCCAGAGCCTATCTTCCATGAAATTCCATGAAGAATTGAAAATACTCGCTTAGTTTTGGCATCCAAATTTCAATTGAACTCAACTCGACAAGCATTAATCTCAATCACTAGTGGTCAGCTCCATGGTGAGAAAAGACATCATTGCCTACGACATGGCCAAGGATGTGACTTCAGTCTTATTTTATATTCAATTGGTGGCAACTTTTAACTTCCCATGGGTTATATTAGTTATTCTTTCCTTGTAACAGCACTCATCTATCTCAACATTCACATTTTCCATTACCCTCGATTTTTGAGTATTTTGGTTCACTGCTAATATTTAAAAAATGTACACGCAGTTTAGTCGCCAATGGATGGGGGTCTAGGTGGGAGGGGTAGATTAGCTACAGACCTAAACCTTAGCATAATTTGCACAAAGTTGCTGCTCTTAAGTTTGAACCTACAATCTCAAGGTCAGTAGGCTGAGTTTTCATAAAATATAAAATAGTTGGCTTTATAATTGTCCTATAAAACTTCCCTCTTATCTTATGTGGAATTCTACGATCACACAACACTCCTAAAACACAATCTCTTTCTCACTTCATCCATCCTATTTTAAGTTCATGGAGAACAACATCCTCAAACTCCCCTTTCTTAGACAATTGATCCAATATATCAAAAGAGATAATCTCATGTCCATCAAATTTCACTCGATGCTCAACCCTCCCAGTAGCAGTTTTAGTACATGTTTGTCCTTCAGATGCTCCCTCCTGTCTATATAAGGAGCTCAATGGTGTATTGTATCTGAGTAATAAAAAACTTGTTTAATATATGATCCTTCTGGATTCCTCCTACAATGCTTCTCCCAAAAGAACCAAAAAGAAAACACTTAGAAAATATGAGGAAGAAGAACTCCGAAAATATGAGGAAGAAGGAATATATTTCTGTTATATTCAAAACTTCTTATCTTACAAGACCAAATGACACTCCTAAACCATTGGAGAGGAAAAAAGTGACTTTTTCATCAAATTTGAATTTGAGGCTTAATCTGATGCAACCTTGGAGATGGCCTAAGACAACTGTTATTCTCTCCAAACTCAAGTTGGTTAGTTTCTCTCCTCCTTGAGTTTGCGGGGGGCTGTTAGAATTTCCCATCTTTATCTTCACCTACTCCACTACACACTCCACTTCACCTACCTCCACTTCACCACACACTCCACTTCACCTAACCCACTATCACCTCCACTACACCTACTACCACATTTTCTTCTATATATAGATTGTATAGGAATTGTAATCAATCAATCTTGTATCTATCAATCAATCAATAAATACATCAATTTCAACACAGTCAATAAAATATATAATTATGCACACTGAGATGATAAAGTAGTTCCATGGTTGAAGCATATAAAGATGAAGCATAGTAGAACACACAAACAAATAACTAAGGAAAGATAAATTCCAAGGTGCATTAGGTTATTAAGTCTGACTATTGCTCAAGTGCAAAACTTGGTCAAGTACTAACCGCTTGAGCCGTAACATGGATCTGTGGAGAGCAATGAAAATGCAAGTACTTCCAATCACTTCCTGCATTAGAGAGAGAGACGAAGAGAGAATTTCATATAAAAAATATCCTTCCAATGAACTAAAACAAGAACAGGGATCTTTAGAAGCAAATCGAAACAAAAGCAGTAAAGTGAAGAATAGTTGAACAACCTCATCACTAGGAAAAACAAACGTTGATGGCCTCAGATTGTGATAGTCTTTTAAGCATGTCAATGGCTTGAAACCTAGAAGACAAAGTTGTCCAGTTGAAACTCTCTTGATTTCTGAAAGCTCCTCAACTGAAAACTTAATATTTTCACTGAAAAGTGAGCAGACAAAGTTAGCCGAATATTTAATGTTTAATTTATGATATTAAATGAGCTAAATATACAAGTTGAAACATGACAAGTTTGACATACTGATATAAAAAGAAGAATTGCGATAAGCTAAAGTACATGACCAGCATGAGTGATCGTTCCTAACAGTGTTAGAAATGTCCTCTGTATTATACATACACTAACTGGTGGATCATGACAGTAGATTTCTTTTCTCCATTCATTAACATTATTATCTTCAACATTGAACAAAAAGGGGTTAGATATCCATTCCCTTTGAAGGGAAAATTTTTTGCATAAAAATGACATCTAGACCCAAAAAGTCAAAAAGAAAAAGACTATATATAGCTTTTTTTTCCAATTTGATATGAGTCCTTTCATGGGTACAAGTGGCTGAGGTGGCCCCTGGAAAGATGGTGTTCACTGAGGTGGCAAGGGAGTCACCAAAGAGGGAAGAGGTGAGAGATGTCTTCACCATAGGACATAGCCATGTAGAGAAGGAAATGAAGTGTAGGGGGATCATGGTCTGGCAGAGGTCCCTTGGTTGAGCTGGGACAAATAGTAATAGTATGATCCTCCCAACAGATAGTAATAGGAACATGCCAAGTGAAAGTAATAGTATGATCCTCCTAAAGTTTAGAACATGGATACAATAATCCATTTCTCTCCACTTGAGATCATAAATAGGATGAATTTCAATCACCGTAGCTGACAACAGATAGTGATAGTAACATGCCAAGTGAAAGTGGTTCCGAATGTGTTCTGGAACTTCAAATCGACAAAACACAGGCTAAGTTTTCCTCAAGAATGGAACACTAATTTGCACAAATTAAGTAGAGAACAAATGACTGGTATAGCTTTACCAAAAAAATTAGAGCAGAAAGCTTGTCCAATTATACATTGACATAAGACTTGATGTTCAAATATAGGAAATTGTTTGAATTTAAATAATCATATGATATACCATTGCAGGGATAAATAATTCAATGAAATTCCAAAACAAAAAATCATTTGTCCGAGAACCTTTAAAAATTGAATCATAGCCAAGGGCCCGCAAATGTCCAATAAAATGGCCGGCTGAAGTAGCATGCATTGAACTTACTTCTTGTAAGCGTGAAAACGCTTTGCAGGTTCCTGCAATAATGCACCCGTATCCGCACAGAGGAATGATCTTTCAGTCTGCACAACAAAATAATGCAGAACCTAAGTCAAACTAGTTTGTACAACCACCCTACCCCTACCGATATTGAAAGGAGCAAATAAGACATTACTGTCAATATTGAAAGGAGCATAAGACTGTAGATAGAGCTACAATGGAGATTAGTTTAACAATATTTATGTGAATGTCTAGGGAAGTAACAAGATGTGAAAATATAGTACCTTTAAAGGAACATTGGTGACAGAATCAAGCCAGGTAATTGCCCCTGAGAACAATAAAGCATAAGCAATTAGTTATGAACAATATTGACAAAGTGGCTACCTGATCATGATGTGATGGATTCCAAAAACAACACTAATTAATAATAATGAAAATAATAATAAGATACTAATAGGGACATGCATACCTGGAACAGTTGGGCGAATCAAAGCATATGTATTCAGTTCTATGGTTACACCATTGGAAATTGAAAATGTAATTCTTCGAACTTTGCGCTTCTTGAACATACGTTTTCTTAACTGATCTTTCATATCTTCAAATCTGAAGTAAAGATTTAATTGATTGATTGTGTATACTAAACAATATGAAAACCAGGAAAAAGTGAATCGCTAAATAAATGTTCTAACACCAATGTTGAATAGTCCAGAGCATAAACACAAACAATACGTACAAAAATAATGCATCCAAATTGTCCACAAATAATGAAATCATATATATTAATAACCAATAATGGAATCAAATACATTGAAATTTGTAGGTATTAGGTAGGTATGTGAGATGGTCAGTTGTGGACTTCTGGGAAGATGGCGGGGACTTCAATGGCTAAGGATGGCCAGAGGCAATGGAGGAGAAGACAAAGGAAACCTAAGAAATAGAGAGGGTGGCAGTGAGAGACATTACACACCTGGGCTATGGAAATTGTGTAATTGAGGTGTGTTATCTTCTTGTTATTGACTGTGTGCATGGGTACCTCTCTTATAGGCCAAGGACAGGTGGCCATTTCCCCTTGACTTGACAGAGTAGAGGTATCATGCCTATCATTGCGTCCAATGATTCAAACCTCAGGAAGGCTATATCATGGGAGCTATAGGTATCAGATAGGTATGATACCTCGGAGAGTGTATCATGGTATGGCATATGAGTGAGTGTTAGGTCAACGTCATCTCTCTCTAAGATTAGTAAAGGAGGAATTGTCTTCCCTTGGGAGACAGCCAAGCAACCTTGACAAACCCGTGATCCTAGTTGTCCAATCCACAATCCTCTGATGATCTCGAGCAGTAGATGCCTAGGCCCCACTCCCAACCAAGGATGTCAAGTGATGGCCATGACAGTAAACAGTAAGTGATCCCAACTAAAGGAGTGAATGCATAGAGGAGACATAAGCGAGCCAAGTACTAGGCTATGTTGCTATTGACTCCTTGTGCATTCGAACCACCTTATTTTCATTAAGGTTTCCCTAGAACCTCCACAAACCTCCTAGTCGCTCCTCAACATACCTTATGGGAATGAGGTATGAAGGACCATGGTCAAGCGAAGGCTCGTCGAGGCAAGTTGTGGCGCTATGGAACCATGGTGCAGCCAAGTGGACTATAGTTGAGCGGGTGAGCTTGGCTCCGATGCATTCTCTTCATTCTTTGACTCATTCACTTTGGTGCTTTAGCTTGCTAAAGTGGCAAGCGTACTAATGAACCTAGCAGCCATACTTAGTGATGTACATGCCCCTGATTAGGCTGGACATATAACACCAGTTAGTCTGATTAGGACATCATGGTGCCTCAAGGATCAGCCACATAAAGGCGGGGTGGTGCAGGCATAGTGTCCGTGGGGCTCGCCACATATTGGGCGCATATAGAAAGTACATCTTGAAGTCACTAATATTTATAGAAAACAGAATCCAATAGCCTTGATTGGCTATTTTGATTGGCATTCTATGCCAGAGAGAACAAGAAAGCTTGTTCTATGAAGGAAAAACTACAGGGACCTGCGCCTATGGTGGTGTAGCATTGAACACCAGTTTCTTACAACCGATCAACGCTGTAATGCAGGAAAAGAGGAATAATTAACTTAATTAAATGGCTTTCCAAATTTTTCTAGAAAACTGTGTCCGGGGAAAAAAATAAAAATTTGATAAGCAACTTGTTCCTATTTTAAACATAGACTAGCCACAAAATAATGAACGGAAATGTTGTATTGATAAAATGCACACCTCTCTCCCACTGAGGGCAAAAACTGAGTAAGATCATCACCCTCCAATCCAAGCAAATCCTGATTCAAAGAAGTTGGAAGTTACTGACATTAACAAATATAACCACCAATATAAAATATAACCACCAATATAACGGACTCATGATGAACTCAAAACATGAAGCAGAGCCATACACTGTAGAAAAGGGATACATTGAACTCCACATCAGGCTTGCTTAAGGGAAGAAGTTCAATTGAGATGCCAAGATCTTGTGCATCCTGGAAAAAACCAAATGAGTTACTATTAGTCCCGAACACGCAAATTCCTTTGAAGAATATAATTGAGCTTGCACACATATCTGATCATTACTTTAGCTCGTTGCAATGTTGTCCTTGTCATATCTATCTTCGTAATTCCCTTCATACTCCCAAAAGGATCATCTTCATTTGCGAACATCAGAATTCGCTTGTCAGCTGTTTTCGCAGATCTGAAATAGTTTCATTGCCATCATTAATAAAGGCTAGACAGATGGGTCTTAACTTCTAAGTAGAAGGCACACTTATAGTAGAGAAAAGAACGATGGAGATTACCCTTTACGCAGCAGTGCTTGTGCAACCCACAGAGCATTGTAAAGAGAATTGTCACGAGACCCGGACAGTATACCATACTGACTCCCTATTTCCTTAGTAAATGATTCTGCATATATTTCAAGAATCAGGCCTGACTTCCATTTCAACAACTTTACATCAAAAAGGCAATAAGTCAAAATTTAGGAATAACTCAAAGGTTACTAAGTTCATAAGTGAAACCAAGAATCTGAACGATATCCATCCTGAGAATAATTTTGCACATAAAGAAGACTACTTAGATGACCAGAATTATCAGAAATGCAATCATATACAAATCTCTTTCCAAATACTGTTAAATATGCTCCAAGTGTACTAACTCACCATCCTAGCTAGGGTGGCGAATCACGCTCTAACATAGTTGTCAAATCGGGATTCGAATTGTGAACCAAAATGGTATATCGCAAATCGAATCGAATCGAATTGAATCATGAATCGTAAAAATTTGGTCACCTTTTTCACATTACATAGAAAAATATATCTACACACTTAGATATTAAATATCTAATAAATATGAAATATTTAGACTTAAATCAATGAAAATATTGTTTCAAATGATGATCATGTGGTCTGGGTAAGAAGTTAACACAGGTTCCCATATTTACCACTTCACCTTTTCTCTTTTTGATACTATTTTTTATCAATCATTCTTAATAAAGAAAGCAAACAAAGACAAACTTTCAATTTTTAAGTAACAATAACTCAATAACAATGTTTTTAACTTTTTACAAGGTTAAAAAACCAAAATCTTCAAACTTTTTCAAAAATCCTTTATGATGCCTTTAAAAAATTCATTTTGTAAATGCAAGTACCTAAATAAAATTGAATATGTAAGCCTAGAATATTATAGAGAGAGAAAGTTCATTCTTTTCTGCTAAGGTCTAAGTAAATAGGGGAGAAGAAAGTCAAAGGATGGCATATAGTAATCCTAAAGACCTTAAAAGGTTTTGTGAATCCTTTTCCAACAATAAAAGGCCAAAAAAAGAAAGCCAAACATCAATTTTAGCAAATCGAATTGATTTACGATTCACTGATTTGGTTCACCGATTCACCAATTTGGTTCACCGATTCACCTACGTTCACAGCTATTTGCGATTCACATAACCTGCTCGTATCGATTTTCCACCAAATCAAATCGAACTGTACGCTTCGAATCGCAAATTGTACAATTCTAATAACAGAGCGCTCTAATTTGAAAATATGCTATTTGGGAGCGAATTCACAGTCAATTCAAGAATTTATTGAGTTGATTTTCGTGGTTGAGAGAGGTTAAAGGCGATTGGTCGTTGACTTCTGGGAAGATGGTGGGCACTTCAATGGCCTGAGATCACCGAAGGTGAGGAGACGACCAAGCCAAACTTAGAGAGAAAATGAGTAAGAGTGAGAGACCTTGAACACTTAATGTATGTTGTATGATTCTTGTTGCTCTTGTTGTATGATTATGGCTATACTTATGATGCCGTTATATAGACTCCAGGAGTATTGGAGCCCAAGCAACCTCAAGGCAGGTAGCAAGTTCTCCTCGACTCAACAGAAGGTGATATCAACCCTACTAGTTGTGTCCTATGATTTAGGTCCTTGGAAAGGTTGCATCATAGGAGTTGCAGGTGTAGGTATGATATCTTGAAAGGCATATCATATGTGCAACAGATGTAAGTGTAAGATCAACGTCCCTTTCTCTAAGCTAGGTCAAGGGGGAGTTATTATTGTAAGGAGATAGCTACATGACCTTGACGATCCTGAGGTCTTAGCCTTCAATCCACAATCCTCCAATGATTCCAAGTGGGAGTGCCTAGGTCCTATTCCCAAATTAGGCAGCTAAAGAGGTGAGTGCATGGGTGAGCCAAGGCTCATCCTGAGTAGCTAAGTAAACATAAGTGAGCCAAGGGTCCAACTATGTTGCTATGGAGCTGGGGTGAGTGGGTAGAGTATATTTCTTGAGTTATGAAAGGCCATGGAGAGCTCTAGGTGAGGACCAAGACTGAGACTGCCACATTGTCTTACTATTGTACCTCAACCCAAGACATTTTGAGGCTCAATTTTTCTTTGGCTAATTAGTAAGGTGTGGTATGATGCACCCACACACCTTATACCAACCAACTTTGAAACATGATGCTATAAAATAAAAATGGCAGCACAATGTGTGAAACATCTGACTTGAACTTGATACAAAGTAGAAGATGGTCTCTGCCAGCACTTTTGCTTCATCACTGCCATTTTTTATGTTTTGGGCAATTGAAAATCATATAATACTAGTTCTCTCAATTTTTGTAAATTTTTAAGTATGATCCAATATATTTTATATTTTTAAATCACTATAAATTGAATTTTTTACATTTTATTTTAATAATTAATGACTTTATATTATACAAAAAATCAATCACTAACTATTATATATAAGATAAACAATAACAAAAGTAAGAGAATAAATAAGAGCCTCAATATATATATATATACACACATATTTTAACCAACCCAAATAGATAATGACTACTCTTATTATTATTATTATTATTATTATTATTATTATTTTCAAACAATATATCTAGATAGACACACACAAACAAAATGGTTTAGTGATAGCAGTTGAATAGAATAGCATAGGTCATACAGCTTAAACAAATCAATAACATGTTCTTCATCTTCCCTCCTCTCTCTCTATCTCTTGATCCTCCATTTTCTCTTTTTATCTTCCCTCTTCTCTCCCTCTTCTCCCATTTTCAATTTTTTTTTGTGTGTTTTTTCGAAAGAAACAATTTGGAACCGTTACGTAAGGGTGCGTAACAGGTCGTTACGACTGTTACGGCACCGTTACAACCACTACGGCTGACACACCTGTGAATTTCAATCACACTGCAAAAGCGGCCGTAACGGGTGGCGGTAACCGCCAAAACCGTTACGTAACGGCGTTACGTAACGGTTGTGGCCGCTTTTTAAAACCTTGGGTATGATGCACCCACACACCTTATACCAACCAACTTTGAAACATGATGCTATAAAATAAAAATGGCAGCACAATGTGTGAAACATCTGACTTGAACTTGATACAAAGTAGAAGATGGTCTCTGCCAGCACTTTTGCTTCATCACTGCCATTTTTTATGTTTTGGGCAATTGAAAATCATATAATACTAGTTCTCTCAAGAGCTCCACTAGCGATTATCAGGCAATGAAAAAAAAGAAATGAATAAAAAAGGAGAGAAAAGACTAGACTTACTGGAAGACAATAAGCTTGCTATATGTGTGAAGATAGCAAGCTGAGTGTTGTAAATTGTAATCCTTATACAATGGAAAAATATTAGACAATCACAATTAAAATGCATAAGTTTTAGAGTGGGATTCGCGTTGAAACTGACTGTTGTAATCAAAATAAAAAATACAAATGCAATCTTCAAAGGTTTTAAATAAACCTATTACATGTACATTGTAAAAAGCAAAGAGAGAAGACCATGATGGACGGGAGCATTTCCATTGTGGGACTATCATTTTCATTTGTCATGTTAAAGACTTCAAACCAGAAAGTCCGTTACATTTTAATTCATTATTTTTTTATATGCTTTGGCTCAGAAAAAACACCAGGTGCAGAGGAAAGTTGTATGAAATAATAAAAATTGCTATAATGTGACTTTGTTCTGCACGTTAAAAACTCTGAAATAAACTTTGCCCATAAAATTAAGAATCAGATATGATCATAAAGTAACTCATCCTTAAACGAAAACATAAAAAAAAAAAACTGAATCAGCAAACACATACAACGAAAGAAAAACCTGAGTTCAGCACATAAAAGATTAACAAGAACTACTTTAATTAGAAACTCACTTCTGATTCAATCAACCCAATGGTGAAACCATTTAGCAGAAAATTTTGAAACTCTAAATTAAAGAAAACATAATTCCTTTTTTGTAATGAAGTCTGAAGTCTCAAAGATTCTGAAAACATCAACTCTTAAAATCAGAGACTCACCACCCACCCTCACAGATTATAAAATGGTCGTAAGCCAACAGATAGCACACCGAGGGCTTACCTTCTATGCAATCAAATTCTTTTATGAGTCTTGCAGTCGGCCTGTCTAGATCCTCTCGTTCAGCAACATTAAATACATAAACACCATTTAAATCCTGCAAATTCTTCTTCTCTCTCTGCAGATCATGATGGAAATACGAAAAAAGATTGTGTAAGATGGAAACGTAGAGTATGTTGCGATGTCTTTACTCTCAATGCCTAAAAATCCAACTCTAGGAAATTATCCTGAGCATATATAGCAAATATTACCATGTTATTTACAAGTAGCAACCATACATAAATGAATAACCAGGAATAGGCATCGCAATTGGGAATCCCACAATAGACGCATTCACATATAAATATATAAATCATAACTAATCACAGCATAGGTGGGACAAGTAAGATGAAACACTAGAGACTTTTACTATAGCATATCATAATGTGTAATAATAATACTTAGACAGTCAAGCGGTCAAATTGTAGGGAGAATTACAGAAAAATGAAAACTAAAGAAAAAATTACAAAAAGATGGGGAATCAATTTTAATTACATTAAAGTTATAAAAAAATTGCAATTTTTTTTTTTTTTTGAACATTTTTTCTCCTCAGCCTTTCTCTCCGCCCTCCTCTCTCTTCCTTTTTCCTCCCCCATCCTCCGAGATGCCAGCCAACCCTCCCCTACCCTACCAAACCCCACTACCTCCAACGCCACCCCCCACATCTTCACCACCCCAGCCACCTCCCCCACCTCAACCACCCACCATGAGGGAGATCATTGCGACGAAAGAGAGAAGGATTGAAGATCTAGGGTTTTAGGAGGGGCGCTAGGGGCGTCACAATGGTGGCGAGGGGAGGGAGTTGGGGCTAAGAAGAGGAGGTTGGGGAGGGTTAGGGTGTCGTGGCGGTGACAGGGGAAGGGTTGATGTTGGGCAAAGGAGAGGTTAGGGAGAGTGGGGGTGACGGTAGGGAGAGGGGGTTGGGAGTAGGCATAGGGGGTTGAGTGAGGGTGGGGGAGGGCAGCCAACATATGAGAGGGTGGAGGGAAGAGGAAGACAAAAAGAGAGAAGAGATGAGGGATGAGAGAGAATGAGAGCATTTTGGTGATTGCAATGGTGGATTCCGCCTCTTTGCATTTTATTTTTTTTTTACCTTTTTGCAATTAGTTGCTCCAAATGCCATTTTTCTTTTTTTAAATTCTTCCTAAGGTTGTAATACCCCAACCTTTTTAAAATATGAAAATTTTCCAAAATCACAAAAATGAATTTTGATGTATATTTTGTAAATCAACGGTTTGATTATTTTAATTCTATGTTTTCCCTTGTTACCATCTTGAATGTTTTGGTCATATTAAATTTTGAGTAAAATAGATAGGGAAATAAAATTATTTAGAATACACAATGGACACCCAAAAATAACATCAACAAAGCGGGCTGATAAATGTCTTTCCTCTTGATTGAAATTGAAGACCAACTCTTTCCAGACTTGAGCATAATGGACAAAACCTAAAAGGTTCTACGTGAAGCCCAACACTATGCAATTCGATAATTAGAATAAAAACCATCCGATGTCCACGAAGAAGAAATGCAAACAAACACTACAGCATATGTGAATAAAAGAGCCATACAAGGCGCAACATCACATTTTGATAATTTAAAATGATCTAGGCCGAGGTATACGTAGTTTAACACAGTCAATATCTTACTGTGTTGAAGAAGCATATTGCAACTTCATCATAAGACCTATTAATGATTTGAGTTTTCAGTGCCTGGGCAATACAACTGACAGCAACGTGAAAGTGAGTTTCCTCCTCTTGATTTTCCTGCATGTATTGACAAATTGAAGAAGTCAATATTTTAGATTAATGTATAGAGATCAACAAAGTTTAAATTTGGCTATTCTTGCCGCAAGGGAAGATTACCTGTATGAAGCTGCAAACAAGACAACAATTCCATTTTGTACTCTTTCATATGTACTGATTTGATCTGTCTAATAGTGTAGGAATGTTGGCTCAAATATTCTCTCTTTAACACAATAGTCATAGCTTAACTTGCGCCAGTTTACTATTATTGTATGCATTCGTGTTTATATATGTATAACAATTTCTATTTGCAATGACTTGGTGATCCTTAAAACATTTTTAAAAAAAATAAATAAATAAAAATTGATTGATTTATTTTTTGTCGATTTACTATTTTGATTCATGCAATTGTTTTGTTAATTTCATATGTCATATAATTTTAATTTAAAATCCAATAAATTATGTTTTTTTAAAAAGATCTGACACGCATCCTGTGTAAAACTTCTTGTATATGTCTATACTATCTATAGCCAGAACACCTTCTAAAGCTTTGTAACAGCTTTTCTCATTCCAAAATTGTCCCAATGTAACTACTCATTTCCAATTTTGCAACTTCTGCATTTTTAATAGCACACTCATGATCAGGTATGCACACCTTGTATATATGTACATGGAGAGACAAAAAAAAAACATATATATATACATATATATATATATATATATCTTCTATACTATTATATACGTGAACACAGCCTCCAAATCTTTTCCTCATGCCATGTAGTAGATTTTTATATGCTAAAATAAAAAATTATTATATTACAACGCAAGCAAAGTTTGAACCAAGACCATTGGTTTCATTAAGAACACACTTACCATTTAAGCAACTTACATATTATAATATTAATTTTTTTATTATTTATTTTTATTCTTACTTATCTAAATTATACACCTATCGCGTATGCCATCCACTATTATATATAAAATGGGGAAAGACTATGTACACACCTTTCAAATGGAGTGTATCATATGCACCTTATGACAAGCAAAGTAATAATTTTTTTTTAAAAAAAAAAAAATCATAAACCAAACACAACAAAATTATAAACAAATATCTCAAAATAATGTCAGAAAATTGATAATAACTAAATCAGAAAAAAGGCGTAATATATTATATGCTATGCATGTGTATAATAGAATTCTCCTACAAAAAGAGAGAGGAAAAGTATAAGGAGAGAGAGAGAGAGAGACCTGGAGAGAAGTAAGCTGGAACATTTTGGGGGAAGCATCCACCAGGTATACCACTAGGTCTTTGCTCGCTTCTCTTTCCTATCAATTCAATTCAATTCAAAAAAAAAAAAAAAAATTTACCGTATCATTTATATCATAATATTCAAAAATTAAGAAGAAAAAACAAAACAAATCCAATCCAATCGAATAGAGAGGGAAAAAAAAAACAAAATCGAGAGAGAGAGACCTGGTAGAAATCATTATCAGGGTCGTCGTCTTCATCTCGGAAGACATCGTCTGGGTCCAACTCCATCGTCCCGAGATATGCTACTATATGTATGCCTAAACACAGTTCCGCTAGAGAGACTTGCTTGCTTGGTTTCACTGTTGTTGTAGTTCGTATGAATGCGATTCTTCAGCAATCCAAGGGTTTTCAACAAATTTCAAAAAGTCGGAATTTGTCATTAACACTCTAATGAACCATTTCCGCGCCTTCACATATCTATATATATATATATATGTCCTTTCCTTTCCGATGTATCCAAAAAAAAATATATATATATATATATCTATATCTATTTATATCTATATTATATATTAAGAGCATATCCAACGGTAGTAGGCATTTTACCTATCCAAATATTACTATAAAGTATATATTTTATTTTGCCTATCAACTGCTTTATGTTTTTACTCCAACCATGCTCTTTATTTTAGCTATTTATCCAAATACTATTAATTTTATAGAATGTCACGTCAACAACAAAGATTGAGGGAAATTATCCTAATGATTGAATACATTTTGCCTAGCGTTGAAGGCTAGCTACATGTAGCTAGTGAATATGAGTTGAGCCAAAATACCTAATCATATGCCTAGTGCATTGGAATTGAAAAAAGTGAATCACACTAGGCATTTTAACTAACAAGTATTATATGCCTAGTGCATTGGAGATGCTCTAAGCAAAAAGAGATTTTTAACTCCAAGCCTTCTGGGAGCTCCAATCTCCCAATTTAAATTTCTTGATTTTTTGATTAAAAAAAAACTTAGCATTTATTAACTTCTCCAAACCCTTAAGTCTTACCCTCATAATAACATTTTAATGTATTAAGAACAAGTATAAAAAAAAATTTTGAATTCCAACCCATATAAATTCCTTGAAAAGCCCCAACACATATAATTATTATCCCTCATAATAACACTTTAATACATTCAAAACAAGTATAAAAAAAAATTTTGAAAAGTACAACATATATGATGATTATAAAAATATTAAACTTTAATATAATATAATAAAAAAAATAAAATATTTAATTCCTTGAAAAGTCCAACACATATGATTATTATCAAAATATTTAAATTTAATATAATATAAAAAAGAAAAAAAAAAGAAGACATTTAAAATATATATATATATATATTTTAAAATCGCAATTCATATATATAGATAATTGTAAATATATTAAGAAAAATGGGGTTTCTAAACCCCAAGCCTTGTAGGAGCTCCAATCTCTCAATCTTAATTTTCTAAATTTTTGATTTAAAAAAAACCTCAGTATTTATTGATTTGGTCAAAATCCCCTGATCAGTATTTATTAACTTTTTTCAATCCATATGCCTGCATTTATTGATTTGATCAAAATCCCTAATTAGCATTTAAAATCCTCTCATACAAATAATTATAGATACAACCCGTGCATAGTTACTGCAGTAGCCTTTTTAATTTTTCCTAACAAGCATAAAAAAAATTTCTTGAAAAGTCCAACACATATGATTATTATCAAAATATTAAACTTTAATATAATATAATAAAAAGAAGAAGACATTTAATTCCGTGAAAAGTCCAACACATATGATTATTATCAAAATATTAAACTTTAATATAATATAAAAAAGGAAAAAAAAAAGACATTTAAAAATCGCAATTCACATATATAGATAATTGTAAATATATTAAGAAAAATGGGATTTCTAAACCCCAAGCCTTGTAGGAGTTCCAATCTCTCAATCTTAATTTTCTAAATTTTTGATTTAAAAAAAAAAACCTCAGTATTTATTGATTTGGTCAAAATCTCCTTATCAGCATTTATTAACTTTTTTCAATCCATATGCTTGCATTTATTTATTTGGTCAAAATCTCTGATTAGCATTTAAATTCTCCTCATACAAATAATTATAGATACAACCCGTACATAGTTACTGCAGTAGCCTTTTTAATTTCTCCCATACACTATGGTTAGTTATAATATTGTTAAATTATTTTTATAAAAAATCTTTAAAAACATAATTTATATATTAAAAAAAAATAAAACAAATATAAATATCTATAATTATCCCGTGCATAGCACGGGTGATAGGCTAGTTATTATTATATATATAACCAAATGTATTTGTTTTGTCAAAAGCCTCCAAATATTTATTTCCACATTTTCATAATTTTAAAACACTCTCTTTCCTATGTGGCAACTTTCTTTGATTGTCTTTCATGTTTTTTATTTTTCTTCATTTTTTATTTGTTTGATTAATTAAAATTAAAATTAATTTCATTACTTATGGATAAAGATTTGAATTTCAAAATTCCTCCATATAGATGAACATATAAAAACTGAAAATTAATTTTATAGTCTACAGATAAAGATACAAAATAAACAATTAATTTAAAAAAAATTAATTTCATAACTTATAGATAATTTAAAATTTCTTCCCATAAATAAACAAATAAAATTTGATAAATAACTTATAAAAATTAATTTCATGGCCTACAAATAAAGATAAAGATTAAATAATTGATTTTTTTATTAAAAAAAACAAAACAAAATTACTCTCTCTTTTTTTCCCCTCATTTCGTACTTTAATTAATTTCATTATAGATAAACATATAAAATTCATAAATAATTTTTGAAAATTTATTTCATGACCTATAGATAACGATAAAAATTTTAAAATTTATTTAAAAATAATAATTTCATGACTTATATATAAATAAACATATAAAAATTGATAAATAATTTATGAAGATTAATTTCGTGGCCTACAGATAAAGATAAAGATTAAATAATTGATTTTCAAAAAATTAAAATAATAAAATTTAGATAAAGATATGATTTGTTAATCTATATATCTATCAAAAACATATATATCTAAATCTTTATTTTGATTTACTCATTTTTTCCTATCACATATTATCTTTTTTTTTATTTTAAATTTTTTATCTTATGAAATGCTCTTATCTATAACTTCTTATCTCCTATTAAATTCTTAACCTTCTTTTAATAATTTTTATTATTCGTTATTATCTACCAAATGATAAAGATTATAAAAAAAAAAAAAATTATTGCTCTGAATGAGAATAGTATTAATAATGAAATAATAAAAGCTACATGGGAGAAGATAGCACAAAAATCTCACAAAATTAATTTTCTTCACTATATTTATAAAAAGTAATAATTTGAGATTCTTTCTATTTGTTATTAAAAATAATTTGCATTAGATCATTGTTATGTTTTTTTTAAAAATTTTTTCATAAGGCTGTCATTCGTTATAGTATTTCTTCAATCCCATCTCTAAATTCTCTTTTTGAAATTTTTATTTTTTCAATAATTAAGTTTAGAATCAATTTCTTGTCAAATTTGTTTTCTTGATCCTTATTTTATTGAAGGATCGAGACGAATAAAACTTTCATATAATATATGAAATTAATGAATATAATACAAAGATGATAGAGAAGTACTATATATTGGTCAATATCTCTATGTTATTATTAGTTGATTTGCTAGATTATACTATCAATTTAGAGCCCATATGATTTAATTCAATGTTTATGACTCTATTTGTATTTGACCATTTTTTCGTTGAGTAACCGATATATTTTTTTTTGGATATATAATGATTAAAGCTATCATTTGTTATTTTTTTTCAAGTACAATTCAAATAATTTTTTATCATTTTTTATAAATAAAATGGTTTAAAACTATTCTTTTATATAATTTTTATAATACTATGACATTCTTATCTTGATTAATTTTTTTAAAAATGACGTAGAAACTATACAAGTATTATTCAAACTATGGAAAATGATTTATACTTTGATATGATATGAGTGTGTCATTGATAGAGGAAATCAAAGATAGAGAGTTGTTAATATAATCAATTAATGATTTGTTTGAGAAGTTATTTTTATAAGTAAGGCAACAAACTTAAATTAAACTTTTTTAAAAACTACTTATAAATTATAATTAAAAGTTGATATTTATTCATAATTTGATCCAACAATAATAATATACACCACTGATTTAAAAGTCCAAGTAAATTTATGATAACTTTTCTGAGCTTATAGAATTTATCTCTTTTAATGTTTTGTTTAGTTTGATACAAGTTATTCATGTTATCAAGTGATTGTGATACTATTATTCTCAATAATTTTTATAATTAATAATTTCTTATGCGTATCAAATTTTATTTCAAAATTTTGTGGGTTAATTATTGTTAACATCTACCTAGATGGCTTAATATTATGGCTTGTCGCTATTAAGATATAATTTAAGATTAAGATGATTTATTTATCACACAAAATATATATAGTCTATTTTTCCGTGCATCGCACGGGTTACCGCTAGTATATTAAGCAAAAATGAGTTTTTAACCCCAAGCCTTGTGGGAGCTTCAATCTCCCAATATAAATTTCCTGATTTTTTGATTTTTAAAAAAAAAAAAAAACTTAGCATTTATTAACTTCTCCCAACCCCCAAGTTTTACTCTCATAATAACACTTTAATGCATTAAGAAAAAACATAAAAAAATTATTTGAAATTCAACACATATAAATTCCTTGAAAAGTCCAAACACATATGATTATTATCCTTTATAATAACACTTTAATACATTAAGAACAAACATAAAAAAATTTATTGAAAAGTCCAACACATATGATTATTATTAAAATATTAAAATTTAATATAATATAATAAAAAAAAGATATTTAATTCCTTGAAAAGTCCAACACATATGATTATTATCAAAATATTAAAATTTAATATAATATCAAAAAGGAAAAAAAAGACATTTAAAAAAAATATTTAAAAATCGCAATTCACATATATAGATAATTGTAAATCTCCCTATCTACATTTCCTGATTTTTTGATTTAAAAAAAAACTTAGCATTTATTAACTTCTCCCAACCCCCAAGTTTTACCCTCATAATAACACTTTAATGTATTAAGAAAAAGTATAAAAAAATTCTTGGAAATCCAACACATATGAATTCCTTGAAAAGTCCAAACACATATAATTATTATCCCTCATAATAACACTTTAATGCATTAAGAACAAACATAAAAAAAAATTATTGAAAAGTCCAACACATATGATTATTATCAAAATATGAGACCGAGCTGAATCTCTAAATTACAGAGCTGAACTGACAGAGATAATTAGGGTTTAGACAGCACAGAGAGAGAGAGAGAGAGAGAGTCGCTCACCGATCTGAATCGATTCACCGATCTGAA